TGTATTATTAATTAATTATTGTATTGTATTCCATACGAACAACTATAAACCTACTTTTACCACACCCTGTATTTTAGGCTTGTGTTAGTCTATGTGGCAACTCTGCAAGCAAATTTTGAAAAGTAATTCTGAGAGTTTTCAGCTAATCTGGGGTATCTTCTAAAACAATAAAGATAAAAAATAAATCACACTCAAAATTTCAAGTTAAACAATTTTATTGAAATTATTTCTAACACACTTGGCAGCAGTATTAACATTTAACTACTACTTATAATAAAATAACTAATATTTATAAAGTACACAGACTATAAGATTAAATTGCCAAAACAGGTAGCATTTTTAGCAAATAAAATATATCTGCCATATATTTAATGTAATTCCTTAAAGAGCCATTACTCATTCCAATAAGAAATATACAATATGAAGTGAAGTTTTAATTTTTAAGAGAAAGAACTGAGCAGCAAGAGGAAATAACAATTAAGACGAGAAAAACACTTGCCCTGGCTGGTTTGGCTCAGTGGTTGGAGCATCAGCCCAAGGACCAAAGAGTCTCAGGTTTAATTCTGGTCAAGGACATGTACTTCAGCTGTGGTTCAGTCCCCGGCCCTGGTCGGGGTCCTGCATCTCTCGATATCTCAATGTGTCTCTCTCACTGATGTGTGTCCTCCCCACCCCCCGCCCCACCTTCCCACTCTATCTGAAGATCAATGGAAAAATATCCTCGGGTGAGGATTTAAAAAAGAAGAAGACATGGGAAAAATATCGCTTTGTAATAGATCATTTTAAGAGCTGTTTTCTTGGCAAAATAATATCCTATTGTCATCAATAATACAACAATAAAGATGAGAAGCATTAGCCAAAAACAAAAGTGAGGGAGGCCAGGCCTAAAATAAGATTACTAAGAATATATTAGATGACATCTTTGGGCTTGAAAAGTGGCATCCTCATTATACTGTGAAATAAAAAACAATCCTTGTACCCACTGTGTCTATCCACTGACAGCAACATGATGAAGTTTCCATAGAAACAACATTCTGCTCATTTAACATCCCACCTCTTTAAAAGAGCAGTCAGTAAATCGTCAATATTTGTTTGAACAGAGAATTTACTAGTAATAAAGGGAGGTACAGCAGAAATCTGCCCTCAACATAATTTACTAGGGAAGATGAGACAAATATAAATTAAGTTAAAAATTATATACTATTTCTTCCTTTTTCAGAGAATATCTACAACTAAAACAAGTGGAACAATGGAATAAAGCAGTGATTTTCAACCTTTTTCATCTCATGGCATACATAAACTAATTACTAATATTCTGCAGCATACCAGAAAATGTATTTTTTGCCAATCTGACCAAAAAAATTAGGTATAATTTTGATTCATCTATCCTGGACAATATTGTTGTGTTGGTTGTTGTCATTTTTTTATTTGACAATCTAAGGGAAAAGAGGTCAGTGCCCCTGACTAAATAATTAGGTATTGCATGTTTTAAAAATTTTTGTGGCACACCGGTCGAAAATTGCTGGAATAGAGAATTATGCAAGTCAACTGTTCCTGGAGATAATTCCTGTACATAGTACAATAAAATATTTCTAATTTTGGTAAGTGTCTCTTTACCTAGTAAATGTTATCCTCAGGGAAGACAGTAGGCATTGACACATGAATATTAAAAACAGTATTTCCAAATTAGAGAAGCCATATTTCAATGCACATTGCTCTAGAACACCCCCATCCCCAGTAATGCTTTTAGAGCAATGGTACTACAGAGTGATTTTGCTGATTGTGGAGATATTTTTTTCCAGTAAAAAAAAAACTTTTGAGTTATAATTTACATAATATACAATTCACTCACTATAAGTATACACAATTCAATGGTTTTTAGTATTATTTACAAAGCTGTACAACTACCATCACAGGTATAGATTTTTAAGTGTTCAGCAAATCACTGAAAAACTGTCTTCTCATTTCAACCCTAACAGTAATTAACTTTTTTAATTTCTCCAAGTGTACACTCACTGAATTGAATCAAAAGCATTTAGAAAGTTTCTTTTTGAGAAACACCAACAGTGTTGAAAATAAAGCAGCTTCTGAGAATTAAACTGGTAATTGTGGCAGCAATCCATAAAACTGCCTGTGAATGTGTAACTGATGAGTTTAAAAACACTCTAAACCCCTAATTAAGGTATGGGTGTAATCCCAGGAGGCAAGTGGTTGTAATTCAGTCAGGAGAAATCTAATCAATTGTCTAGGAGGCTATTTAGAGAAAGTTTGTGTGAAGATTAGCCTACGGAAACAGAATTGCCAAACTTTACCCAACTCTATCCAGGAACAGAGACACAAAATTTAAGGGGTATGAATTTTCCTGTCATTGAAGAGGTATACTCTGTTGTGGGGCAGGGATTATTTATCAAGTCTCATGATCTGAATGAAATATCTCTCAAAATGACTCACCTCATTTTCTTTTAATTCATTTACTAAGCAAATGCTTGATATTCTTTCCAGACCCAGCAAAACAATTATCTTGGCATGTACAATTTGAGCATCCTGGTCATAAAAAATGTATCTCCCCTACCACCCAACAAATGAACAGTTGGTTTAATTTATTTTTTGTGGATTAAAATCTGTTAATAAACTCGGGTATACTGATAGTATTAAGATCACACCCTTAACTGTAATAATCACCAGGCCAATGCCAACCTGGGAGATCTTGAAACAGCCATCTAGACTTTTCCCACTACATCCTGGCTTTATCATGGGCCCCAGAACATAGGTTCTGTTCAAATACAATAAAGGGAGCCAATAGAGAAACAAGAATGTCCTATTCACCCTATATTAAAGTCTACCTTGTATTCCTCTGAACTGAACAAAATCAGAAATAACTACATTAACTCAAACAGACAAGAATAAATCAAAGCAAATTCAGTTTTCTTATTTTTCTGGAAAGAAAATGTCCTGAAAATAAAAGCACCTATGTTTAAATCACTTATCACTGACTTAACATTAATCAACAGAAGATGAAAGTAAATAAATCTAAATTGATGGATGAAAGTTTGAACAGAAAGTAAATGTGCTCAGTAAACAGCTATTCAATGAAAATAATCAATACCTTACATGAAATGCCCACAATTTAAAAAATTTTTCTCATCTCTTCTGCTACTAACTGAATATTAGAAACTGAATACATTTGTTAAAATAGTGCCCTTTTTGGTCAGCTTCTTATTTAAAAAATTATCAGGTTCTTGTCTTTTTTAATTGAAAGCTCAGTTTCAAAAAATATCATTGAAGAATAGACCATCTGTCCTTCCCTTTAAAATTTTCAGAGGTTCTTTTCCCTTTTGGGATCTACAGGTCCCTTTAAGAAGCTGATTAAAATTTCAAATCCTCTTTGCAGAAGAAAGTGCATGCACATATACACATAATTTTGGAAACCATCACAGAGAGTTCAAGGACTACCAAACATTTGTAAAATACATTCAATAAACTTTTAGGACTGAAAAATAATGTCCTTCTCCTAAACAATCTATTTTTATGACAATATAATCCAAAGGCACTTTGGATTTTGAATATACTTGTGTTCCCTTCTTTACTGTGACTTCTGGGATGACCAGAATCAAATTTACAGTCCATCTCTAGGAATTCACCAGGCTATTACTACAGATATTTTGTGTACTAACCTTATCCATGACTTTATGTTAATCCGCCCTCTTTATTTTCCCTTCCTCCAGATTTCTTCATTCAGTTTTAATAGTGTTTTATGGTATCTCTGCAAACTGCCTCACATCCCTGGGGAGAGGGATTGTGGTAAGAAAATAATCCTTAAAGTCGTGCAGATTTGTTTTAGCATATTTATGACTGCAGGGTTTCTTCAAAATTTAAATTCATTACTCATATTTAAAAATCCCAAATTTCATATAAAAATTCTGATTTTTAGATGTCTCTGGAAAAAAATGTAAAAAATTCTTATTTCCCTGGAACAGCAGGCAAGCAGGATCAGTCCTGGGCAGCAACTGTGCTCTCCAGTGGTCACAATTCTCACATAATCATTTTGCTCATTTATATTACCTAAAAGGCTCGGTAATGAGTTAAAAAAAAAAAAAAAAGGAACGAACTTAAGGATTTTATAAACACACACACACAAACACTTTTTCTCATTCTCTGTAAGAGGTTGGAGAAATAACAGGCACAATTATTTTGTGAACCCTCACTGGACCTCGCTTCTGTGCTAGGCCTAATGACTGGCGATTCAAGACTTCGCAAAGCAGCAGAGGTCTGGGTCCTCTTTGGGAGGTACCACCAGTGCCTGATCAGGGCACGAATCCCTCCCTGCCAATGAGCACAACTGAGTGATGAACTGAACTATACAAAGTTAAATTCTGAACCGACGGTGAAACGACATTTAGTGTAGAATATTTACTAAGGAATCTAAAGTAGGTTCCCCTAAATTAGACACATGTCTAAGCGCGCACCGCTAGTTCGCAGAAGGGGCGGAAAGACAAAGCCACGCCTTGGCTCTTGATTGACTCAAGTGCAACGCAGTTCCTAGCCTGGGCGCACACTCCGAGGATGCCGCCGTTTCCGGAACAACCGACGCGTCCCTCCCCCTTAGACTCCGCCCCCGGGGGTCTTTCCCGCCAAAGGCCGTTAACGCCGCAGAGCATGGTGGGACAGGCTCTAGGGTAGGCTTCGCCAATTCCTTCCAAGTCACCTAGTTGCTTTAAAAGGCTTATTCCTGAGGAAACTACCTCTTAAGACTCGACAGGGATTAATAACCTCTTTAACGAAGGCTCTGTATTTGTCTACCAAAGAGCTAGCCACTCCAGTATCAAACCACTCGGAAATCGGGAACGCATGGAACTTTTTTCCCTTTGCGCGGAGGGTGACGTCGCGCATGCGTGAGCGTACTTTCGCAGGCCCGTTACGCTTTTGCGCATGCGTACTGAAATCGAATAGCTGCTTCCTCCCTCTTCTCTTCTTCCCTCCCCCGTATCCGTGCGCCGAGCTGATAAAGGCGCCATTTTGGAGGGGCCGCGGGAGACGTGGTGTCGCTGCGGGCTCGCTCTCCTGTGCGCTAGGCTTGGTGGGAAGGCCTGTTCTCGAGTCCGCGCTTTTCGTCGTCGCCATGTCGGGAGGTGGTGTGATTCGTGGCCCGGCGGGGAACAACGATTGCCGCATCTACGTGGGTAACTTACCTCCAGACATCCGAACCAAGGACATTGAGGACGTGTTCTACAAATACGGTGCTATTCGCGACATCGATCTCAAGAATCGCCGCGGAGGGCCTCCCTTCGCCTTCGTTGAGTTCGAGGACCCGCGGTGAGGCGACCTGGGCTTGCGGCCTTGAGGATATCGGTTGGAGTAGTTGGGGAAAGCTCCAGGGCCTCACAATTAGAGAATGGGGAGATAGGCTCGAAGGTAGGGGGCAAGACGCTATCGTCCGTGCAGGAGTCGAATAAGAAGCTGAGTCGGTTTGGCCTTTCTGGTGGCTGGGTCCTTGTGGACGTTCCCGGAGTCGGCTCAGGCTCCGGGCGGGAAACTGAGGCGTTGAGGGCTGGTGTAGTGGTCGGGAGCCTGGCGTGTTTCTGAGTGGGGGAGGGGCCATTCCTATTATGCAGCGCATGTGGGCTCTTCCACGCTGGGTGCGCATGTGCGGGGGCCGCTGGGTCCCGGCTGAGTTAGCTGCCCCTCCTGGCCCTTTTTCTTACCCCTCTTGCTTTCTGTGATCACACAGAGACGCGGAAGACGCGGTGTACGGTCGCGACGGCTATGATTACGATGGATACCGTCTGCGGGTGGAGTTTCCTCGAAGCGGCCGTGGTACAGGCCGAGGCGGCGGCGGGGGTGGAGGTGGTGGAGCGCCCCGAGGCCGCTATGGCCCCCCATCTAGGCGATCTGAAAACAGAGTGGTTGTCTCTGGTGAGTTTACGGTTAACGTGGATTGATGACAAGAGGCAGAACGCACTTAAAATTTTCCTCGCATGACTAGTTTAACAAATGCAAGTTTTTATGCTAAGTCTTAAATTACTTCAGTATCTTGGGTGGGTTTAGTAAACAAGGATTATAGTGGGGGTTTATCAAGTTGGGTTTCGGGTGTTCAGGATTTGAAGATCCGCACTTGACAAATGATTGTGGACTCCAGATTCCAGAATCTGAGCTCTTTACATATGATCTTAAATGTAATCATTAATTATAAAGTAGGCGTTCTAATGTAAATATTAAGTTTAATATGATATTTAGGTATTGAAAAATCACTTTTTCAGGACTGCCTCCAAGTGGAAGCTGGCAGGATTTGAAGGATCACATGCGTGAAGCAGGTGATGTATGTTATGCTGATGTTTACCGAGATGGCACTGGTGTCGTGGAGTTTGTACGGAAAGAAGATATGACCTATGCAGTTCGAAAACTGGATAACACTAAGTTTAGATCTCATGAGGTAGGTTATACACTTATTCTTTTATTTGGCCAGAATTGGATACAGTGGTCTTAACATTGGAATTTGCAGGTAAGAATCAGGCAAGGGTGTCCAGGTTAAGTGCCAGATTTCTGGCTTTAGCTACATTGTACTCATTCAGCATGCCTGAAGACAGGTAAAAGCTTAGATCTTTCAATCGAAAGTTCTGTCTATTCAATAGGGAGAAACTGCCTACATCCGGGTTAAAGTTGATGGGCCCAGAAGTCCAAGTTATGGAAGATCTCGATCTCGAAGCCGTAGTCGTAGCAGAAGCCGTAGCAGAAGCAACAGCAGGAGTCGCAGTTACTCCCCAAGGAGAAGCAGAGGATCACCACGCTATTCTCCCCGTCATAGCAGATCTCGCTCTCGTACATAAGATAATTGGTGACACTTTTTGTAGAACCCATGTTGTATACAGTTTTCCTTTACTCAGTACAATCTTTTCATTTTTTAATTCAAACTGTTTTGTTCAGAATGGGCTAAAGTGTTGAATTGCATTCTTGTGTAATATCCCCTTGCTCCTAACATCTACATTCCCCTCATGTCTGGTAAACTGTATTTTAAGTGATGTCATAGACAGGATTGTTTAAATTTAGTTAACTCTCCATGCTCTTCAGACTGTGATATTGTGTAAATGTCTATTTCTGCTCTGGTTTGTGTGAACTGGGATGTTGGGGGTGTTTGTGGTTATCTTACCTGGGGAAGTTCTTATGTTTATCTTGCTTTTCATGTGTCTTTCTGTAGACATATCTGAAGAGATGGATTAAGAATGCTTTGGATTAAGGATTGTGGAGCACATTTCAATCATTTTAGGATTGTCAAAAGGAGGATTGAGGAGGATCAGATCAATAATGGAGGCAATGGTATGACTCCAAGTGCTATTGTCACAGATGAAATTGGCAGTATTGACCTTATACTAAAAGGCAAGGGTTAAAAATTATTATATGCATCTACCTTAAAACACTTGCAAACATCTTATGCAGTTATCTTTACCTACAATTGCTTTGCTCTTTAAACCTTGGCAATTGTGGCAAAATTAACATTGCCCATTTTGTAACAATTTATTTTGCTCCCTTCCCCCCCTTTTTTGTTTTAATAGGGACTAATGTGGGAAGAACTGGCTAATTTGGCACAGTGCTTAGTTACAACTGTTAATGTGTGACCTGCTGTTGGTGTACATGTGGGTACAGGGTGTCTTTAATTCCAACCAGATAGAGTATAATATCAATACTGCTAAATCTGCATGTCCTCTGTGTGACTGATATAGCGTTGCTATTTCATTTTTTTTTTTTTTTAAGACAAAATGAAAGCAAATTATAGAATTCCAATTTATTGGTATAGATAATCTAGTTGGGAATACTTCTAAGTCTCACCTTCCCCTCTAAACTAATATTCATAATTGACTCATGTTTGAAACATTTTAATTTACAAATTAAATTGCAGATGGGAACATTAGATTTAGTTTAGACTTAGGTGGGTAGCAATACCAGTAAACTTTTCAACTACATAACTTTTTGCAACCACAAAACCTGTAATACGCTGTACAGTAACAAGTGTTGGCATTATCAGTTGAACTGTAAATATAAAATGCTTCTTCCAATTAGTCTCTATGATGATTAAGTTTCTAAAATTTATCTGAACACCAGAAACTTGTTTTGGGGAATTTGATAGTTATTGATGTACATCTGTTAAACTGATGACAGACATAACTCATCATTCCCCAGAAACCTTTTTTGATTACAGTATCTAACATTTTGCCTCCTCTTTTTTGGTTTTGCTGGTTATAAAGGTTTGGATTGGAGAGGGCTCACTGGATCCCAATCCTTGGAGCTGGATCATTGGATTCAAATCATAATGTGGATAGGATAGGGAGGATGAATTACAAGGATTCATGGAGCGGGATCAGATTACCAGGAACATAGGAGTGGATTCCTGCCCCAACCAAACCGCATTCATGTGGATTTTTTTTTTTTTTTTTTTATTCAACTTAATTGGCTATTCCAAAGATTTTTTTTCTTCCTATTTTTGACGATTGGAGCCCTTAAGATGCACGATGGAATTGTGTTTTGCATTTTTTGGTAAAAGGAGCAAAGCGAGGACCTGGAGATATACGCTGGAGCAATCTCCTTGGAAGGATTCAGCACGAGTAGATGGTAAACATTAAAGGGGAAAAGGGGGGGTTTGTTTAAAATAGTAAATCAGTAAGTCATTTCTAAATTTAAAGAAAACAAAATTGGAGTTGAAGAATAAGTAGGTTTCCAATTGGCTGTTGCCGTTTTTCTTTGAAAAATAAACGTTTTTTAAAAAACTATGCATGGTTGTCCTTTTTCCTCTTGTAGAATTTTAACGGGGTGATATCAGTTAATACTTTATAAATTGATAAGATTCTGATTCTTGCATTTATGTGTTAGTACATTAAAGGTTCTTGAAAGGTAATTTCTAATGGTGTTAAGCAATTGTTAATTGTAAAAATATTCAGGGCAAGATAAGATGAGAAAGGGCAATTGTGTATGTAACATGGTAAATGAGGAGTGATCTAGTCTCTGAAAAACTTTGCATACTTTCATTTAAAAAAGTTATAAAAACTTATAGATGCTACTTATTTTTGGTGGTCATCTAGATAACATAGGCTTTTATACAAAATTGAGTGATGACTGGTAAATTTTGGAGGTAGCCTTTGAAATTCTCAATGAAACTCATCTCAAAAAATTGGTAAGTATTAATTTACATTTAGCACAGATTAGAATTCTCAACACAATTTACATTTTCTTCTTGAAGTGTGAATAGTACACTAAAAGAGTTACTGCTTATTTAATGGTTGCTGATAAAAAAGCTGGGCGCATTCTTTGGAATTTTGCCTTGTTAAAACCCTTCTCAACCATAAGGTTATTCTATATCCAGAACATACCAAGGCAGTAATTTCATCTTGTAGTCTGCCAGTTTTGTATCTTTTTATTTAACAGTCCCTTGGTTTTAAATTGCCAATTTGCTTGAATTGGAGGGAATTTTTACTTAAAATTCCTAATCAGCTGATTTCTTTTTTTTTTTTATCCGCACCTGAGGACATTTTTCCATTTTTTGTTCAGATAGAGCAGGAGGGAGAGAGAGGAAGAGAGAGAGAAAGAAACATCGTTGTGAAGGGACACATCGAGTGGCTGCCACCCGCACGACCAACCAGGGCCGGGGACAAACTGCAACCGAGGTACATGCCCTTAGCGGGAACCGAACCCGGGTCTCTACCGCAGGCCGACGCTCTAACCGCTGAGCCAAACCGGCCAGGGCAGCTGATTTCTTGATAACTAGCCACAACCATCCAGCTACTCTTTCTGCACCCAACTAAATCTTAAAATTTCCCCTGGGTGCTAATGATATTTGGAAGCTGGATCTAAGCTATTCAGGTGACATGATTTCAAACCTATGAAAAACAAAATAATCATGGTAGTGGAGGAAATGAGCCCCAAGGTTTGCATAAGGTCACCTAACCAGTACATGTAAATGAACCTTGTGGAATGTCTGGGAAGAAAAGGGATATTAAATTCAAAACTAGGATTCCACTCTTTAAGTATTTAAGTAAAGCAGTTGGTATAGAATTGTTAACAAAGTAAATTTTATGTAAATTCAAAATAGGTTCAAGAAGCAGAATTATTAAAATTGCAACAAGTTTTCTCATTCAAGTATTAACCAGGCCTGACTCTGCTTACTAGATCAGGCATTTTCAGGGAGCTATGGCCGTAGGCAAATTCTGTTGCATGTGTAGAATATTTTTTTAAATCTGTTTTTAAGTGACATTTAATTTTGCAAAGGTAAAAATATGCAGGGTAGATTTAAGTAAGCCTGAATTAATTTTCATTCACTGAACGTTTTGGTAACAGGATCAAAAGGAAAACGACCTTCACTCAAGGTTGAGTACATACATTTAAGCTAAGTTGAAAGGTGTGCTCTACTAAAAGTTTTAGTAGTTTTAACCCTAGGTTGAAATAAGAGAAAAAAACATTTCTTGTATGGTATCAGCTGTTTGAAGGTTAGAGAGAACTTAATGTATTATGGAAAGGTAGAGAGGGGCACAGATTCTGCAGTTAAAACCAAGACAGTTAAAAGCTGTGAGGGGAAATGCAGACTTTTTTTTTAGTTTTAGGAGAATGGCCCTTAAACCTGTACCTGGATTGGCAGCTATTAGAAGAAAGCCACCCTTAGAGAACTAAAAAGGCTGGCTTGAGTTTTCCACCTTTCCTCCCTATTTATCTCCCCTTATAATATTGTAGGGAGCCTATAATTAGTTTGTTATTTTCTGACCAAGGAAAAACTTAAGTCTAAGAAGCACCTATTTTTCATAACATCAGATTGAATAACCCATCTTGCTGTTCATCCCACAGCCTGGAAACAAAAGGTAAGAAACCCATTTTATGATTCCTATTGTTTGGGATCTGAATTTTATTTTAAAAATTATGTTTAATTTCCTAATATTTGGAATATGAACAGATTTCCCTTGTTTAAAATGTTTTCCTAAGTTTTATACTTTAATGATAAATTTCGAGTGCATATATCCACTCGTGTACAAGTGCAATATGATACTAGAATTTCAACTTTTAGTTTTGTCTGAAATATCTTCCTCATTAAGGCTGGTTTTTTGTAAGTTTCTATGAAGATGAATTTATATGTGCCTTTTTGCTTTGTGAAGTTGTAATGAAATTACACTATAAGTATTTATACATTATAAGTATTTACCAGAAATAGTTACTAAAAGGATGAGAAGCTGTTAGACTGAGGTTCTGTTGTAACATAACTATCCTTTGGTTTAACTTTATTACAGTATGAAGACTGCAAAGGCAGAAAATGGGTTCACTCTCATAATCCAAAAATTATTGAAAACAGATTTTGTTGAACTAATTGAATGTAAAACCTGACAAGAATTGATGGCTTCAGTTTGTACTTACTGTGACTAACTTGTCTTCCTGCAGAAATATTGATGTGTTTCATTTTACAGTTGCCACAGGGTTTTCTGAGGGTGTTATGTTTTATATGGGATCTGTATACCATACCTTTGTAAAGTGTAAACAGCTCTCAATTTTAGATACATCTGCCCCCTAAGAGTTTGGAAAAGGGATTGTAGAACTAGAATAGAATATGCAGGGCTAAAGCTTGTGTAACTTTGGATGTAAGTGAAAACAAACCTGTCATTGTGGATCCCTTATTAGTTGAGATGTAAGCCCCCCATCTTAGGCTGAAGCGACCACAAGAGGAAAAAGGTATGACTCATATTTCTTTACATTCTGTTGCTGTAGTGGACTCAAAACATTTGTCTTCCACTGAAGGAAATATTTTGCCATCCTGGTGTATATAGTGGAATACTGCATTCTTTCAGGGTAGGTTTTTGCAGTACATTTCTGAGAACATTGATCATTCCGATACTATAGGAAAAGCTGGGATTGACATGAAGTAAAAAGATTGTAGGAAAACATCTGTTCATTTTATCTATAGGACAAAGTAATCTGGCAAAAAATTGTTTTAAATATAGGTGTGAGAATTTAAAGTATAATTAAATCAGCACTTGTTCTTGTGATTGAGGACTTTGAGGGAGCTTCTTTCTAGCTGTGGAAGCTATACTTGAAACCCTGACAGTGATTGTGATTTTGTAGTGATCAGGGAATTTTTTAATTACAAAAATCACTTGATGTTTCTGTAGTACACAGGAAATAAATTAGTCTTTGTCATATAGAAGTTTAGGCAAAAATGACCTCATAATAAATAGGTTTTCAGGGAGAAAAGTCATTCATGCTTGGCTTATGTTGCCATTTAGGTAGATATGGAACACAGATGAAACAACACTTGAGAGTTCAGCACGTTCTGAGTGTTTTGTCTTCGTCTCTTAAAAAATAAAGTACAAAGGAGTTAATCTTCAACCACCACGTAAAAAAGTTTTAACTCCTGTCACCATACAACTTAGAAATATCTGTCAACTCTATTGATAGAAATATCAATGTGAAGATAGTGGAAATTGAGAGCCTTTGGACAAAAGGTCACATTTGTAAGGATGCCAAATGTCTGAAGCTGATTTTATTTAAGTATTTTTTTTTTTTTTTTTTTTTTTTAGGGAGAGGAAGGGAGAGAGAGAAACATCTGTCGACTTCTCCTGCATGCCCCCTACTGGAGATCAAGTCCAGAACCCAGGCATGTTCCCTGACCCTGAATCAAACCAGGACCTCTCAGTTCAAGGGAGGATGCTCAATCCACTGAGCCACACTGGCCAAGCCCTTAAGGTGACTTAACTATTTCACTTTCGCCCTGGCTGGTTTGGCTCAGCGGTCAGTGTCCGCCTGTGGCAGAGAGATCTGGGTTCGGTTCCCGCTAAGAGCACATACCTTGGGTGAAGTTTGTCCCCAGCCCTGGTTGGGTCGTGCAGGTGGCAACCACTCGATGAGTCCCTTTCATGTTGATGTCTCTCTCTCCCTGTCCCCCTACCCCTCCTTCCCACTCTATGTGAACAAAAAATGGAACACTGTCCTCCGTGAGGATAAAAAAAAAACAACTACAGGTATTAAAAACGATTTCACTTTCCTGTTTCAGTAAATGCTAGGGGAAATCACTTAGCCACTAGAGGGAGCTATGGTGCAAAAACAACCAGGAAATTATCCCTGCTGTAAAGGGTCCATCCGGCAAGGTGGAAATCAACTATCTAAATCGTGTATATCAGCTCCAAAGTTGGGGGTTTAATTTTGGTAAGTTTTCTTTCTGTAACTTGACCTCTGTCTTCTCATCTGTTGGGTAAAAATCCCTATTCAGCTTCTGGACCCATTTAGGTTTTTTGTTTGTTTTTTTTCCTTCTTGATTGTTTTGTTTTGTTTTTTATCCTCACTCGAGGACATTTTTCCATATTTTGTTCACATAGAGTGCGAGGGGGAGAGAGAGAGAAATATTGACGTGAAAGGGACACATTGAGTGGTTGCCACCTGCACAACCCAACCAGGGCCGGGGACAAACTGCA